CCCAGGCCCCATGACGCAGGCAGGGATCGTACCGCCCTGCCCGGCCCCACGAGCCACGGCCGCGCCCGGGCATCACCAGACCCCGCCCAGGATCGGGGCCTGCCCCCCCACTCCATGTCGGACCCCAGCCTGGGAGCTGGGGGCTTCTCGGGAGGGCTGCGGCGCTGAGTCCAATCCCCTGGGTCCCGGCTGGGTGCCCCTCACCCTGGCATCGGCCTTGGCCTCTAGGCCTTGCCAATGCTGGGGGGGCTTCCCCTTGCCCCCCACAACTGAGCTGGGAGCCCTGGGTCCAGCGCCACGGAGGATCGTTCCCCTCGTCATCCTAACCAGCTGCTCCGGAGCCCCAGAGCTGCCTGGCGCCAGGCAGGGGGGGGCCTGCCCCAGAACCGGGCACCGCCCGCTTTAATTAATTAGCTAATTGGCTCCACTCAGCCCTGCTAATTGGGCTGCCCCAGGGAGGTGGCTCTTGCTGCTTTGGGTCCCGAGGCGGCTTGGGGGAATCTGGGGGGCTCGTGGTCCTGGGTGGGGGGACTCTTTGTGGGGGCTTGCGGGTGATTTCAAGGCCCGCAGAGGGGTGGGAGGCTGGAAGCCCAGACTCCTGGGTTCAGCACCCACCCCCATGGACTGCCCCGGCAGGGCAGATGGGGCAGGTTGGGGGGACGGGACACTGGGGGGGGGAGGCCCCCCGGGGGCGGCCCCCATGGACTGCCCCGGCAGGGCAGATGGGGCAGGTTGGGGGGACGGGACACTGGGTGGGGCAGCCCCCCCGGGTGATGCTGGGCTTGGTCTGATTCGATACAGGAGGGAACCCAGGCATCCGGGCCTGGGAAAACCCGCCCGCCTCTGCTGCGCCCGGGGTGAGGGCATGGCCCGCGCCCCGCACGGAAAGCGGGGCAGGGCGAGGGCAGGCCCCCCGTCACCTGTCATTACCCGCCCCTGCCCTGCATTGGAGGCTTTTTTGCTTGCATGTGTGCAGCTATGTGTTGCGCCTCGGCCCCTGGCCCTTCCCGTGACACACGCATGTGCCCAGCTTCCACGCGTGCTTTTGTGGGGCAGGTGGGCCTGGGCCTGCTCCCCACCTCCGGGGGGCTCCTGGGGCCGGACTGGCCCCGTCTTTGCCCTGTGAGAGTCACTGGGGGGGTCCCCTCCACCCGCCCCACCTGCAGCCATGTGCGTGTTGGCCCTTTACATGTGCACACACATGTGCCAGAGTCTCTGGGATCCCAGGCTTGCGGGGGGCCAGGTGCCACCAGGGGGGAGGGTGTATCCTATGGGGACCTGCTAGCGCAGGGAGGCCCCGCACCCTCAGCAGGGAACAGCACACGTGTGTGCAGGTGTGTGTACATGCCAGGAAACTCCTGATCCCGGAAGCACCGTCTGTCTGTCTGTCTGTTGGTCTGGGCCCCCCGCCGTTGTCTGTCTGTCTCGTGCTCAGACCCCCTTGTCTGTCCCCATCTCCCTCCCCACAACGCAGCCAGGTCTGGGCTAATCCCCCTGCATTAGTTAACTCTGCCCTGGCCAGGCCAGCGAGAGTGCCCCCCACTCCACCCCGCCCCCCCATCCGGCTGTGTCTGGGTCCAGGTCAGTGACCAGTTCCCCAGGGGCAGATCAGAGCCGGTGTCCCCAGGAGGGCCCTGATGCCGGCCAGGAATCACAGGACCTCCCCAGTCCCTAGCCTCGTGGCCGTGCTGGGGGGCTGCTCCTATCTGTGCTCACAGTTGTAGGTGCCTGCTGGCCCCAGAGAACCCCCACCCCTGCCCTGGCCTGTCCAGCTGTTCAGATACCCCTGTAGGCTGTCTGTCTGCCCACCGCCTGTTCCTCCATCCTGGGGCAGACACCCCTTTGGCCTGTCTATCCGTCCATTCATCCCTTGGGCACACTTGGGCACCCCCGTCCATCTGTCCCCCCACCCAGCTGCCTGTCTGTACACCCCTTCATCTATCTATCTATCTATCTATCTATCTATCTATCTCCATTTAAACCCTCTACCCCCTGCCTATTGGTCCCAGACACCCCCCTGTCCAGCCCCCCATCCGCTGCCCGCCTTGGTTCTGCCTGTCTGTCCGGCTGTCCACGCACCCTCCAGCTCTGTGCATCTGTCTGTCTACTGGACCCCCCCACCTCCGTCTATCCATCTTGGGCACCCCCTTTCCATTCGTCCGCCTCTCCCTTTCCTCTCTGGGGTCCTCCCAGACGGATGCTGCTGCCTTTCAGGGGTGTTTGAAGGCAGCCATGGACCCCCCCAGACCCCCAAGTACAGCCTGGGGCAGCTGTGTGCAGTGAGGGGGGGCATGCCTGGCTTCCTGCAGGCCCTGGGCTCTGGGCGGCTGCTTCTCCAGCCCCCGCCCGCGCGCTCAAATTCATATCCATGGGCCCGACGTGGGTGGGCCGTGGCGGCGGGCAGGAGGGGGAAGGGCGGGGGTGCCCATGGGAGTTGGCGGGGCGGAGCTGGCTTTGCACCCCTGGCTACCGGGGCAGGCGCTGCTCCGGGGCTCCCCGTAGCCCCGGGTGGTGCAGGGGACACTATGGGGGGAGTGGGGGCAGCGGGGGGAAGCCGGTGGCTGCATGTCTGAGCGTGTGCAGTGTCCGGGACATGCGTGCGTGCGTGTGCAGTGGATGTGATGCACAGGAGCTGTGTGTATGCCATGAAGGTGATGTGTGTGAGTTGTGCATATGTTGTGTGTGCAATGTGTGTGAGCTGTGTGTGCAATGCGTGTGAGCTGTGTGTATGCTGTGTACGTGATGCGTGAGCTGTGCGTGTGCTGTGTGTGATGTATGTGAGCTCTGTGTGTGCTGCGTAGGTGATGTGTGTGAACCGAGTGTGTGCTACGTACATGATGCATGAGCTGTGCGTGTGCTGTGTGCAGGTGAGCGGTGTGTGTGCTGCATATGTGATGTACATGATGTGGGTGAACTGTGTGTGTTGTGTATGTGATACATGTGAGCCGTATGTGTGCTATGCATGTGATGCATGAGCCGTGTGTGCTGTGTAAGTGATGCGTGTGAGCTGTGTGTGTGCTGTGTATGTGATGCACATGTGAACTGAATGTGTGCTGTGTACGTGATGCACAAGTCATGTGTGTGCTGTGTACATGATACAAGTGAGCCATATGCACGCTGTGCACCAGGCATGGGTGAGCTGTGCACATGCTGTGTACATGGTGCGTGAACCAGGTGTGTGCTGTGTTTGTGATGCACAAGATGTGGTATGCTGTGCACCTGGTGTGTGAACTGGGTGTGTGCTGTGTAGTTGATGTGTGGATGCCATGTGTATGTACCATATACCATTTGTGTGCGAGCATGAACTTTGCGTGTGCCACCTCTGCCGTGTGCCAGAGGCCTGGCTGGGCAGTGCCCAGGAAACACGCGTGCGCCATCAGCTCTGCATCCACGTGCACTCTGTGGGCAGGGCTCGCAGCCTACACGTGCAGGTACAGGCGACACTCACCTGCTCTGGGTTTGCAGCTCTCGTGTGCTCCGACACACGCATGTGTGCTGTGTGCAAGCTTTGCATGTGCTCCGTGCCCGCAGTGTGTGCACCGCATGTGCCACGCATGTGCCATTGCAGGGAGGGCACGGGGGGGCTGTGTCAGGCTCCCCCAGGCCGGGCCGAGCATGGATCCAGCCCCACCCCGTACTCCGGGCCGGCTTCGTGAGCGTGGGCGAGGGTGAGGCATGATCCTGCCCCGGGCGCAGGGAAGCCTCGTTGGGCTCGGGCCTGCCAGCCCCATTTGCCTAATGGGTC